GAGGAAGGAGCCATTGGGTTGCTTCTGAGCTCAAGCCCTGTTGTCTTTGGTCCAAGCTTTCCCCTTCGCTACCCCTATCCCTTTCCTGCATCCCGCAGGATAATGGCGAGAGCCCCCAGATCCCCCCGGCAGGCTTGGGAGAGGGATGAGGCTCCTGAGGAGAGCATCTCTTCACTGGAGCCCTGTGAGGAATGCCTGGTCATGCCATTGAGGATTGGTGAGCATTGGTGTGGGAGCAGGACAAGGGGAGATGGGTTCAGACTGGGAGAGGGGAAGTTCCTCTTGGATAGAAGGAAGTTGTTCCCTATGGAAGGGGTGAGGTGCTGGCACAGGGTGGATGCTCCATCCACGGCCAGGTTGGACACAGCCTCGGTAACATCAGATCCCAGAGCCATAGAATGGGTTGGGTTGGAAAATGGATGATCTCCGGGTCCTTTCCAACCCAACCCATTCTATGATTCCATGGCTTTATGACCAGCACCCCTTTCCTTGGATACTGGCGGGGGGGCAGAGCTTCCTCTGCTCTGCAAACCTCTCCTCTTCCTCCATTAGATGCTAGCTGGTTACCTGTGTACGTACAGGAGAAGGACAACGTGAAGCGCATCGAGGCCTTTGTCAACTTCCCAGCCATGGTGAGCAGGGCCATTGGGATGCTGATGGGTGCTGTTGGGTGCTGCCTTCACCCCTAGCGCTCCAGTACACCCATCCCCTCTCATACTCCCTGTTTCTGCCTCCATCCTCCCTGGTTTCCAGTCTGAGCATGAAACAGTTGGATTCCTTGAGAGCGTTTGCTCCGTGCTGAGCACCACCAGGATCTGCGACTTGCAGGAGGGCCTGGATGTCTTCTGCCGTAAGAACCATCTCGCAGAGACCATCCAGGTGAAGGGACCCCCATTGGGATGCTCTGGGGCAAAGGCTTCCAGCACCCAGTGAGGGCAGCGTTGGTGGACTCCCAGGTCCCTTATCCCCACTGTGCTCTACAGACACTGCTCCAAGAGCAGCCCGTGGACCAGGTGCGCACGGAGTTGTAGCATCTCGCCATGGATGCGATAGCGGAACTGAGGTACCAACTGCACATCCCTCCTGGGGACCCCATTGCTCCCATCACCAGCACCCAACTGGATCCTTCTTCCCTTTGCAGCTCAGTGCAGTCAGGGCTTGCAGACCAAGGGAGACTCATCGTAGAGACCTGCTGCAAGAGCTTCTTCTTTTTGCCTCCGAAAGAGGAGTTTTCAGCCAAGGATACCTACTACTACGCCATGGTAAGGCACTCCAGGAGCTCGCAGCTCCCTTTGGAGCGCTGGGGCTGGGGGATGCCCATGGTTGAAGCCCCGTAGGTACCTGAAGGGCTCCGCTCTGTCCCTGCAGGCACTGGAGTCCATGGATAACATGCTCCGGATGCTGGTGCTCAACTCTCCTGACCCAAGTGCCTGCAAGGAGCTGCAGCACATCCTGAAGGTCTGGCCTGTGCAGAGTGGGGTACACGGGGGCTGCTCCTCAGCCATGGGGCTCCCCCAGAGCCATGGGGCCCCCTTCCCTGGGTACCCCAAGGCCCTCCTGGAGCACAAGGGCTGCAGGGGGTGGCGGCCACTGCCTGCAGAGCTCAGGGCAGGGACCCCACATCAGGAGGTTGAGCCCCCCAGGGATGGGGTCTTTGCTGCCTCCTGGCACCATGGGCTGGGACCAGGCTTCTGGGGCCCATGGGCTGGTTCCCTTGCCCTGAACTGTTGCATAAAGTGGTCTTCAGAGGAGGAATTTGTCTGTTATAGCTATAAGTATATATGCGTATATATATGTGTATGTATCTATATGTATATATGTGTGTATATATATGTATATATGTGTATATATGTGAGTGTACGTATACGTGTATATATGTATATATATTTGTATCTACTTATATATTTAGATATATTTTTATCTATTTATATCTATGTAGTTATATTTATACCTATATCTATATATTTCTATTTATATCTATTTGTATTTCTATAGATATCTATAATTAATATTGAAAAATCAATCATAGCAATATTGATGAATATCAGCATTAACATTTAACTACATATTAATATTACTATATTAATACAGATATTAATAGTAATCTATATGTTAATAAGTAGACATTTATATTAGCTTTTTAATATTTACATTATTATTTTCATTTTAACTTATATTAATATCTATGGATATGTTTATATCTAACCCTATATTTATTTATATTTTATGTGTTAATATTCATATTTATATTTATTTTCATATCTATATTTTTATATTTCTATATCTATATGTTTATATTTATATGAAGATTTATATACTATATAATTATAATTCTCTGATATTTAGACCTACCTTATATCTATTCAGCTCTATGGCTCTATTCCTATTCACATGTATTTACACGTACACTGTAATCAGGGGAGCACAGAGCGGGTTGGGCTGGAAAGGACCCAAAGCCCCTGCAGCCCCAGGGCAGGGGCAGTGCTGGGGCACTGATTGTCACCGCCAGCTCCAGCCCAGGCCTGGAAGCGAGGCCGTGCCTTGGTCCTTGCGGCCGGGGCATCGCCCACAGCTGCAATGGAAGCTCCGGGGCTCACCCGCGGCTTCTCCCCCTGCCCAGATGCTGCTGCGCTTCAGCGTCTCCCGCAGACCCGTCGTGAGGGAGAGGGCCCTGGGCAGGATCGCGGCCCTGACCCGGCTTCTGCGGCACCACCACATGCAGAGGGTAAGGACCCGGCAGGACCGGGGCGGGAGGCAGCGACCCCTGCACGGGGAGACGGGGACCTGCAGAGCATCCTGCGTCTGCCTCCCCCTGCCCCTGCCCCTGCCCCTGCTCCTGCCCCTGCCCCTGCCCCTGCTCCTGCCCCTGCCCCTGCCCCTGCTCCTGCCCCTGCTCCTGCCCCTGTTCCTGTTCTTGCTCCTGCCCCTTTTTCTGTTCCTGCCCCTGCCCTTCCCCCTGCCCCTGTTCCTGCTCCTGCCCCTGCTCCTGCCCCTGCCCCTGCTCCTGCTTCTCCTCCTGCCCCTGCCCCTGGCCCTGCTCTTGTTCTTTTGCCTCCCCCTGCCCCTGCCCCTGTCCTTGTCCCTGCCCCTGCTCTTGCTCCTGCTCCTTTCTTATTCTCCTTTTCCTTTCTTTCTTCTTTCATCCTCCTTCAGGTTCTTCTGGTCTTTCTCCTTCCCCTCTTTCTTCTCCTTTTCTCCTCCTTCTCCTTCTCCTACTTCTGCTCCTTGTCCTCCATCTCCTTCTCCTCCTTCTCTTTCTCCTCCTTCTTTCTCCTTCTCCTTCTCCTTCTCCTTCTCCTTCTCCTTCTCCTTCTCCTTCTCCTTCTCCTTCTCTTTCTTTCTCCTTCTCCTCCTTCTCCTTTTCTTTCTCCTTCTCCATCACTTCTTTTTCTCCTCCTCCTCCTTCACTTCTCCTCCTCCTCCTCCTCCTCTTTCTCCTCCTCATTCTCCTCCTCCTTTTTCTTTTTCCTCTTCTCCTTCTTTCTCATTTCTTTCCTCCTTTGGGTTCTTCACATTTTGTTCCTGTTCCTTCTCCCTCCCCAGAAACTGCAACTGACCTGGAGACACTTCAGCTTCATTCCCAAAGAGCAGCTCCCGGACCCGCTCCTGGGCCATCTTCTGGGCCACCTCCTCCTCTTCTGCTTTGCCGAGGATGGGACAAGCTCCCCAGCCCTGGATGCTCTTTGCAGCCTCCATCAGCACCTCCTGCAGCAGGAAGGTACCAGAGGCCGTGATGGGCTCCCCCCAACCCCTCCCATTGGCTTCCTTGTGTCCCATTGACTTCCCTGTGTCCCATGGACTCTCCTGTGTCCCACTGACTCTCCTGTGTCCGATTGTCTCCCATGTGTCCCACTGACTCTTGCCTATCCCATTGATTCACCTGTATCTCATTGCCTGCCTGTACCGCATTCACTCTCCTGTGTCCCATTGACACTCCTGTGTCCCATTGACACTCCTGTGTCCCATTGACTCTCCTGTAACCCATTCACTCTCCCGTGTCCCATTGACTCTCCTGTATCCCACTGGCTCTCCTGTATCCCATTCACTCTCCTGTATCTCATTCTCTCTCCTGTATCCCCCTGACTCTCCTGTATCCCATTCACTCTCCTGTGTCCCATTCACTCTCCTGTGTCCCCCTTGCTCTTCAGAAAGGCCAAAGCCATAGCATGAAGTGGAAGAGCTCAGATGGGATGAAGAAATCAGCCCCCAAGACCTCACCATGGTAACGGAGCTCCCCTCAGTGCTGCACCCTATGGTGGGATGCTTCCCCAAGCAGGGACAACGCTCATGCTCCCAACCTTCCTCCCATAGAGGTTTGCAGGCTCCCTTTATCCATGGGAGAAGAGAGACATGGTCTGTGTGGTCATCCAGGCCATGAAGGACTCGAGCATCTTTGACAGGAGGGTGTCAGAGGACATCCTGGGGCTGATCATGAGTGACCTTGACTTCTGGCTGGTGGAGGTGGGTGCCCCATGCCTGCGTTCCCATCCTCTTCAGTCCTTCCTCCTCCACCCCAAACCTAGGAGGGGTCTTGGGTACAAAGTTGCAGCAGAGAGGAATGGGGAACCCGGTCCCAGCACCATCCTCTCCTGTGCTTCTGCTTCCAGATGCCAAGTGTTTTGAGGAGCATCCATAAATGCCTGCGGAATAGCAGCAGGAAAGCAACATGGCACGGGATAGACAGACCCCTGATCCAGCTGGCCATCAAACACCCGAAGGCATTGATGGTCAGCATGGTCCTCAACGTGCCCTTGAGAGACAGGTACGAGCCTTGAGGGCTTGGTCTCTATGGCCACCAGACCCAAGGACCCACGGCAATGGATGATCTTAAGGCCCTTTCTATGATGCTGAAGAGTGGGTCCCTGCATCCCACCCCATGGCATTAGGGCTGGAATTGGATGATCTTAAGGTCCTTTCCACGATGCTGAGGATTGGGTCCCTCCATCCACCCCATGGCATTGGGGCTGGGACTGGATGATCTTAAGGCCCTTTCCATGATGCTATGACATCCCTGAGGAACGGGTCCGTGCATCCCACCCCATGGGGAGCACCACCACTAACCCCCATAGGGCATCCCATGGGATGCATGGACCACACTGACTCAGTGCCCTGCCTTCCAGGGCTGACCTTGACATGTGGGAGATGGTCCTGACCATATCCAAGACTTCGGAGGCCCTACGGGAGCTGCTGGGGATGCTCCAGGACACCCGGGACACCTCCATTCCCAACTTGCTTGTGAGTCCCAAAGGGCCCTGATGAGTCCCATGAGCCCTGCAGGCTCGGTGGGGTCTCAATACCTGTGTTTGCCTTTAGCCCATGGCCTCCGGTGCTGGTGGTGCTGAGGGAGCTGAGGACCCCCAGAGCCTGGTGACAGCGTCCGTGCTGCTGCAAAGGCTCTTGGAGCTGTCGAAGAATCCTGGCTTGGTGAGCGGGGCATGGGCATGGGGCAGGACATGGGCATGGGGCAGAGCATGGCCATGGAGATCCCTCTTGGCCATGGGGCAAGGCACAGTCATGGGGCAGGGCATGGGCATGGGGGGCCCTCTTGGCTGTGACTTTGGTGACCACAGCCTTTGGTCAAGGCTTCCCCACAATGAGCCCCAACCTCTTCCTGCAGGCAAGGAAACTGCAGCAACTCCTGCCCCACATCATGGGCGGGCTCCGCGATGCTGAGGACAAGCTCAGGATAAAGGCCCTGATGATCGTATCAAAGGTGATGCGTCAACTCGAGGATGAGGAGGCCAGCCCCATTGCCGTGGGGCTGGTGCAGGACCTCCGGCCCCTCTTCGATGGAGTAAGGGATGCGTGGGACCCCTGCAGGGATTTGGAGCTCGCATGGGGATGGCTCCAGGGCTTCGCATCCCATCAGGATCTGCCCAAGTCCCCCCTTTTCCTCCTTGCCTCCAGGGATGCAGCCGGCTCCGGGAGCTCTCCATCCGCCTGCTCCGGTTCCTGCTGGAGTCGGTGCTTGGCAGCGACAGGAAGAGGATGCAGAGTGAGACCTGGGATCTGCTGCTCCCGCTCTTCTTCCACATGAGCGACCAATGCCCCAGCGTGGCCAAGGTACAGACACCCTCCCCTCCCCCCCCCGCCCCCGTACCCACATTCCAGATGATTCGGAGAAAACTCCAGGAACAAACTTGCCAACAAAGTTTTCAAGCTGACAAGCAGGTATTCTTTATTGCGGCGCCGGGAGACACGGGGGATAACTCCTCCTATCGTGTGTCCCCGTATTGCTATACAAGCCATCCTTATATAGTCCCTGGGCATACATAGATATTCATGAGGCTACGTATGGATTACATCATTTTCCAGAGAGTTCCCCGCATGCGTACAGAATTGTGGTGGTGCTCTCTGAGGGTCGTTTACTTCTTCCAACAATCTTCATCACTTCTGGCAGCCTTTGAAGCACGCGCAGTAGATGCTCATACCAGTTTAATTGGTTCGTTAGCACCAGAGACATAATAATCCTCCCATCCTCCTACTTATCTGTTAGTTCAACTGTAGCCCATACTGGACACCTGCAGTTCCCAGATACCCCTTATCCCTGTGTCCTGTTTTTCTAGGCTGTTTTTTTCTTAAAGCTATGTCAACTATAACGATTTATCTTGTGAGAATTCTCAGTATGTTCTCTAGCTGCACTCTCTTTATATATTTTTCTCTATGTACCCTGCACCTCAGTAATTTTCCATTGCTACTGTTACAAAGCCATCAAACTTAACACTACTTAAAGCTACTTCTAAAGATTTCTATATACCATTTTGTAATTTCGTGCCCCCCCTTGTCTCAACTTCCCCCCTTTTTCTATCCTTTTGCAAATTCTTTTGCAACTCTCTTTTCTTTTCTATATATTGCAATTACCATCAAAAGTCTTTTTGAAATAGTTTCCCGTTTCTACTTGGTGCTTAATTTCATTCCTTTTCCACTCTTCATAATTTGTCATAGACCGTTTACAACACCAGAGGGAACACTGTATCATACCACAAGTAATCAATATTAAAGCAATTAACACCAGTATTCCTGCAACTAGTTGCCTCAACCAGGAGAGATCGGGTAACCATGAAGTGAACTTTTTCCATATTTCTTCAAAACCCCAGGAAGTGTCATCCATGGCCATTTCATGAAGTATCTTAGTTTGTTTCCAAATTTCCTTCAGATCTGTTTCAATTCTGCCACTTTGGTCTATATAGGAACAACAGCTTTCATTGATTATGGAACAAACCCCTCCTTGTGATGCCAATAACATGTCTAAAGCCATTCGGTTTTGTAATACTACTTTTGACAGGCTGGTTATCTCTTGTTGTTCTGCCTGGATTATATCAATATTTTTGCTTTCCATTTCCTCTATAGTTGCTGAGATATTTACAATTGCCTTCTCTAATTCACTTACTCCCAAAGATGGAATTAGCCGTCTTACAAAACTATGAAATGCGGTGTGCCGTTCAATAATAGGATTAAACCCCCGTTTAATCCGCTTAGCAAAACTTCTAACCCAGGTCCCAGAAGGGTACTTGTTAATAATAGTAAAATTGTGTATTACGGCACCTAAGGTGCATGCCCCCTTCCAGCTGGGGGGTAGAGTCTTATAAGCATTTTTTCCACATAGCCAATACCATCCTTTCCCTTTTGGAACGGGCCACCATTGAACTACGATACCATCTATAGTAATAGTATGATTGCAATTTGAATGGTGACCTACATCTGTGGCATTTAAACAAGCAAAATTTCTTACCCTGGTTTCTGGTGTAATACATCTTTGTGCGCAGGTATAATATTTGTTATCTACATTAGGATTAATTATTCCAAATTTTAAACTTTCCTTTAAATACAGATTACTAGTGTTCACCCACAAATTTGTCCATGAGACAGTGTTAGGAATTGGAACTCCAATTAATGGGAGATTCAGACTTTCTCCTGATTTAGGCAACTGTGCACACACCCAACAGTCACTACGATTAAAAACATTAGTAACATTCTGCACTAATTTCAGGTATAAATTCTGGTCCCAAGCTTGTGCGGCAGTTATCATATGAGTCCAAATTATGACCGACACAATTTCATACGTAAGGGTCCTGAAGGTTCGATCCGCCATGTCTTCTCTGGCTCTGGTGCTTTCTTTATTCTTGAATAATGTATCCAAGCAGGTTGTTCTCTTATCTTCACTGCTGTAAAGGTGGTCAATAATATCTGGTATAGTCCACTCCACTTCTCCTGTAGAGGATCTCCTGAAAAATTCTTAACATAAACCCAGTCTCCAGATCTGAAAGGGTGAATTGGATAATCCAAACCTCTGGCTCTTGTCCCTACTATTCTCTTATTTATCTCCTCCAACTGTTTTCCCAGATTGATCAGAAACTGTTGGAGATAGCCTTCTCCCACTTCCTGAAGACTTTCTCCTTTAAACTGGGACTGATATGGTCTTCCATACAAAATCTCAAATGGGCTAATCTCTCCTTTTGACCGGGGTTTAGTTCGAATTCTTAATAGAGCCAGTGGCAATGCCTGGTACCAATATAAATTAGTTTCCTGACATATTTTACTAATTTGTTGTTTAATCAGATGGTTCATCTTTTCTACTTGCCCACTGGCCTGAGGTCTATATGGAACATGGAGTTGCCAATCAATTTCTAATTTTTTGCTAATTTCTTGTAACAATTTGGCACTAAAGTGTGAACCCCGGTCAGAAGAAATTGCCGCTGGTACTCCAAAACGAGGTATTATTTCATTTAATAATATTTTAATCACCTGTCTTGCATTATTTATCCTACAAGGGAATGCTTCTGGCCAGCCTGAAAAAGTATCTGTTAACACCAACAAATATCGATAGCCCCCTTTTCTTGGTAACTCAGAAAAGTCTATTTGCCACTGCTGTCCTGGATAACTTCCTCTCCCAATTGTCCCTATTTGATTTCTGTTTTCAGTTTTAGGATTATTCTTAAGACATAACTGACATTGTTTTGTCACTAATTGAGCCATGGTGTATAGATTCCTTCCTACAATTTGTTTGTCTAAATATTTATACAAAGAATTGCTACCCCAATGAGTTTTATTATGTTCTTCCTGAACTAACTTCCAGAGCTGGTAATAGGGAATTACAATTCGACCATCAGGTATTTGAGCCCAACCCTCTTTATTTTCCTGTCCCTCTAGATCCTCAATCAATTTTCTATCCTCTTTTGAGTACCTAGGTTTAGATTTTTCAATTGTTAGTTTGCCATCAGGGATTAAGGACATGATTTGAGATTGTTCAGCTGCTCGTTTGGCTTCAAAATCAGCCAAATTATTTCCAGTTTCCTGGTCAGAGTCACCTTGTTGATGTCCTTTACAGTACATAATAGCTACTTCTTCAGGTAGCTGAACAGCTTCCAGTAACTGTAAAATTTCTGTAGCATGTTTAATCTGTTTCCCTTGTGTATTCAAATGTCCTCGTTCTTTCCAGATAGCACCATGTGCATGCACCACACCAAATGCATATTTAGAATCAGTCCAGATATTTATCCTTTTACCTTTAGCCAATTGCAGGGCTCTTGTTAATGCTATTTTTTCTGCCTTCTGTGCAGAGGTGTTTGCAGGTAAAGGTTTAGCTTCTATTACCTGTGAAGTGGTGGTGACAGCATATCCTGCCTTTCGTTTGCCATTTTTCATAAAGCTGCTACCATCAGTAAACCAAGAATCAGCATCTTCCAGAGGGTTTTCTTTCAAGTCTGGTCGGCTCGAATATACAGTCTCTATGGTGGTCAAGCAGTCATGGGTTAGTGGTTCTGTCGACTGTTCCAGAACACCATAATCATGGATCCAAAGTCTGCACCATCCTGTCATTCCCAGGAATGTCCGGAGCTCCTTGATGGTTGACGGTCGTGGAGTCTGGCAAATGGCTTCTTTCCTGGCAGTTCCAAGTTCTCTCTGTCCTCCTGTTATTTCATATCTGAGACAAAGGGGAACAAAATCACAAAATGGGTTATAGAAACTTTTATAAGAAGTTTTAAGTAATGTTAAGTTTGATGGCTTTGTAACAGTAGCAATGGAAAATTACTGAGGTGCAGGATACATAGAGAAAAAAAAACAGAGTACAACTAGAGAACATACTAAGAATTCTCACAAGATAAATCATTATAGTTGGCCTAGTTTTAAGAAAAACAGTCTAGAAGAACAGGACACAGGGATAAGGAGTATCTGGGAATGGCAGGTGTCCAGGATGGGCTCCAGTTAAACTAACTGATAAGTAGGAGGATAGGAGGATTATTATGTCTCTGGTGCTAAAGAGCCAATTAAACTGGTTGAGCATCTACTGCGCGTGCTTCAAAGGCTGCCAGAAGTGATGAAGATTGTTGGAAGAAGTAACCGACCCTCAGAGACCACCACCACAATTCTGTACGCATGCGGGGAACTCTCTGGAAAATGATGTAATCTATACGTAGCCTCATGAATATGTATGTATGCCCAGTGACTATATAAGGGTGGCTTGTATAGCAATACGGGCGACACACGTTAGGAGGATTTATCCCCCGTGTCACCCGGCGCCGCAATAAAGAATACCTGCTTGTCAGCTTGAAAACTTTGTTGGCAAGTTTGTTCCTGGAGTTTTCTCCGAATCATATCCTAGGTAGGAAACTCGGGTTTGGATTAGTTGGGCTTTTTGTCTGGATACCCGATAACCATTCAGTCCCAGAAAATTTAATAATTCAACTGTCCACTGGATGCATTCTTCCTTTGTTTCTGTAGCAATTAACAGGTCATCCACATATTGTAACAGAGTCCCCGTCTCAGTAGGTGGCTTCCATGATTCTAATTCTCGTGCTAGCTGATTTCCAAAAATCGTTGGACTGTTTTTAAACCCCTGAGGTAATACTGTCCAAGTTAATTGAGTTTTTCTTCCTGTGTCAGGATTCTCCCATTCGAAAGCAAATAAATTTTGGCTTTCTTTGGCTAATGGTAAGCAAAAGAAAGTGTCCTTTAAATCCAGGACGGCAAACCATTTCTGATTTAATTTTAGTTTGGTCAATAACGTATATGGATTAGCCACCACAGGGTGGATGTCCTCCACTATTTTATTTATTGCCCTCAAATCTTGAACTAGCCTATAGCTTTTCCCATCTGCTTTCTTTACTGGTAAAATAAAAGTATTATACTCCGATTCACATTCCACTAATAACCCATATCTTAAAAATTCATCAATTATTTCTTTAATTCCCCTTCTATCTTGTATTCTTAGAGGATACTGTTTTATTCGAACTGGGCAGGCCCCCCTTTTTATTTCAATTTTAATAGGCAAGGCATTCTTTGCCTTACCTGGAATTTCTGATGCCCAAACTCCTGGATATACCTGATTGAGGATTTCTTCTACTTCGGGTGAACTGGACTTCTCGATTTCCTGTTGAATTAATGACACACTCATAGCTTCAATTAATTGGTCCTCTTTTACTTTTAGTTCTATTTCACCTCTTTTAAAGGTTATAATTGCCTCCAAATGTTCTAATAAATCTCTTCCCAATAATGATTTGGGTGAATTTGGCATATATAGGAATTTATGTACCCCAATTTGTTTTCCTATCTTGTATTTTAAAGGTTTTAGAAAGAATGCTTTTTCCTGACGGCCAGTAGCTCCCACAACCATTACAGACTCTTTTCCTTTTAATGTCAAATCTTGGTTCAAAACAGAATAAGTTGCCCCAGTATCTATAAGAAATTCTACTTCTTTCTCTGTGGCCCCTAGCCTAATTTTAACCAGTGGATCCGCTAGGGTAGATTCCCCAGGTCCCCGTCAATCTAATTCCAATTCGGTGGTCAATTGAGTCTGTTTTCCCTGCGGACATTCCCATTTCCAGTGTCCAAACCCTCTGCAGTTTGCACATTGATTCTGACTGAGGGGAGTTCTTTTATAACCCCCCTCTCTGCCTCGGCCACGACCTCTGCCTCTCATTCCCATTCCTCGGCCACGACCTCTCATTCCACTATATCCCTCATTCACTTGCCCCAGTGCTGCAATCGTAGCTGTTGTTACGACCTTTCCTAATTTCTTATCTTTAACTTGTTCTCTATTCCTGTATACTTTCCAAGGCACTTCCAGCAACTTTTCCATATCCTTTATTTCAGTCACAGATAACTTTTGAAGCTTTCGCCTGATATCCTCCGATGACTGCCCCACAAAGGAATTTGCAAGCTGTAATTTTCCTTCCTCTGAGGAAGGATCCAATGTGGTGCATTTTCGCATAGCTCCTCTGAGCTTATCCAGAAACTCTGTCGGCGACTCCTTCGGCCCCTGTCTTATTTCAAACAGCACCGACCAATTTACCGCTTTAGGTACAGCATTTTCAAGCCCATATTTAATCCAATTCTGGTATCTTTTCAAAGATGCATAATCTTCATCATCATCATAGTCCCAATTTGGAGCTGAGAGGGGAATATGATCTTCAACCCTCCCCTCTATCGCCCCTGCAGTAATCTGAGCATTTACCTGCGTACAAGCAGTTTTTATAACCAGTTGTTTTTCTGTCTCTGTTAATGCATCCAGGATTACATCTATATCTTTCCAGTCAGGATCCTGGCTTTTTACCAGTGTCTCAAATTTCTTTGCTACCCCTATAGGGTCATTTCGATACTCTTTTGCAATCTGCTTCCAATTATCCAAATCCCCTAGAGAAAAATTCACTTTTATTTTGGTACGCCCCCCCGGTCCCATTGCTTCCCTCAGAGGAGCTTGCAGAACAGTCTTAGCTTTACTACGAACCCGGGAAGCAACAAGAGAGGAGGAAATTTGCTCTACACTTTGTTCTGGTTTTACGCTTTGTTCTTGTTTTACACTTTGTTTTGGTTTTACACTTTGTTCTTGTTTTACACTTTGTTCCTGCTCCTCATCTGAATCAGAGGACTCCTCCTCAATCCGAGGTGGTCTCTGCTCCGGTACTTTTGGGGAAACATAATCCTCTATTCTATCCTCAACCCTGTTATCCTCAGTTCGCTTCTTAAGTTTCAAACAAATTTCCCCAATATCACAACCAGAACAACATCTTTCCAATCTATTCCCTGCTTGCTTCCTTTCTCTTTCTAATGCTAAAACTAAAGGATCTGAAGGTGCTATATTAATTCCACATTGTTTTTGCCATTCCGGGTGATTTCGCAACGTGAAAAACATATCTGCATATATTACTTCATCCCATTTTCCCTGCCGCCTCAAAAACAACATTAATTGTAACAATGTATTATAGTTCAGAGTTCCATTTTTAGGCCATTTTTCCTGATCTTCCAAAATATACAAAGGCCACCATTGGTTACAGTATTTTATCAATGCTTTCTTATTTGCTGAGCCCCCAGGAGACCCTCCCAGTTCTTTCCAATGTGCCAAAATGCACCCTAAAGGACTCTTTTTCATAATCTCCTCATTCTGCTGATTTCCTATTATTAATCTCTCACTCACACACACACAACCCCACAGACACACTCACACAGTTACAACACTTGAAACAGATACAGAGACTAATATTCTATCAAACAGGCCACAATTAATAATACAGTTCACCGATACCCAAAACCACAAGACCAATATCAGCACTATAACAGGCCACAAACCAAACCGAATACCAAGCACCTTTTAACCTTTTCTGCAAGACACCCCCTGTGTCTTGAAGGACCCAAACCACAGAAGCCCCCTGCTTCCTTTGGGTATATTCCAGTAAAATTCAAAACCTTTTCTGCAAGACACCCCCTGTGTCTTGCAGGACCCAAACCACAGAAGCCCCCTGCTTCTTGTGGGTGTATACCAAACGGGCGCTAGCAGCCGGGTATACGCCTTTACCTACGAGATTTCTTATCTCGATTTACGGAAGGCTTCCAAACCATGCGTACGCTTACCAAACCAATTTACCAAACCAAACCAAACCGAGGTGCCCCCTGCACCTTACAGACTATATAAAAGAAAAGAATACCTTTTAGGAGATGGTCCTTGTCTGCTCCCGCAGCGATCCGAATGAGCCGAGGGGTCCCTCCGGGAAAAATTCCCGAGGGCCCTAGGGAGCCCTCTCCTCAGCGGGTCCTGCAGTGGACCAGAGAGGGTCCCACCAGAGTCACCAAATTGATTCGGAGAAAACTCCAGGAACAAACTTGCCAACAAAGTTTTCAAGCTGACAAGCAGGTATTCTTTATTACGGCGCCGGGAGACACGGGGGATAACTCCACCTAGTGTGTATCTCTCTAATTGCCCCACAAGCCGTCCTTTTATAGCCCCTGGGCATACATACATATTCATGAGGCTATGTATGGATTACATCATTTTCCAGAGAGTTCCCCGCATGCGTACCGAATTGTGGTGGTGGTCTCTGAGGGTCATTTACTTCTTCCAACGATCTTCATCACTTCTGGCAGCCTTTGAAGCATGCGCAGTAGATGCTCATACCAGTTTAATTGGTTCGTTAGCACCAGAGACATAATAATCCTCCCATCCTCCTACTCATCTGTTAGTTCAACTGTAGCCCATACTGGACACCTGCAGTTCCCAGATACCCCTTATCCCTGTGTCCTGTTTTTCTAGGCTGTTTTTTTCTTAAAGCTATGTCAACTATAACGATTTATCTTGTGAGAATTCTCAGTATGTTCTCTAGCTGCACTCTCTTTATATATTTTTCTCTATGTACCCTGCACCTGAGTAATTTTCCATTGCTACTGTTACAAAGCCATCAAACTTAACACTACTTAAAGCTACTTCTAAAGATTTCTATATACCATTTTGTAATTTCGTGCCCCCCCGTGTCTCACTCCCCATCGACTTGGTCATAAAGAGCCTCAAGGCCACTTGCTCCCAGGGTGGACCCAGTTTGGGGTGCTCAGACTTTGCCTTCTCTGGATGTTCTGGAGGGGAGTTGAGTAGCATTGAAGCAAGAGAGGCTCTGGGCTCGGTAGCCAGTGCCTGGCAGATGGGATTTACTCTGCAGTGATGAGGAGAATGGGAGGCTGTGCTCCCCAGAACCAAATCATTTACTACTGGTCTCTTCCTGTGTTCCAGGAGAAGTAGATGTGTGTGGGGGTGTCCCCACAGTCCTGCAGAGGAGTCTGCTGTGCAGTGCCAGAGCGGACAGGAAGGTAATGTACTGCTCATCCGGCGAGCGCCCGCCTGCCAGTGCCAACCAGGAAGAAAGCGTTCCCCTTCCCAGCCGTCCCAGTACCCAAGAGCTGCTCTCCACTGGAGCCGGGACGCTCCAGGCCCCTGAGACCTGGCTGCTGGGTCACCCAGCTGTGGGGAAGCCCTGGTGTTGTACTGACCAGCGTCCCTGCAGCCTTGTTCCCCTGCGGTGCTGTGGAACAGCAGGACAGGGTGGGTCCGATCAGGGCCCTGTGACGAGCAGCAGCTCCCACCTGGGATCCCCAGCTGCTGCCCTGAGCTGCCCGAGTCGGAGTCCTGGGGAGAGGAGTGGAGCAGCTCCTGTGCCTGGAGCCACTCTCAGGATGCTGCGGTGACTCAAGGCTGTTGCCCTGAGCTCTGCTGTTTGGCAAAGACAGCAAAGAAACACAGCAGGGCTGCTTGTGGGAGTCCTTGGCGTGTTGGGTCTCATCCTGCTCCCAGGGCAGGGGGCCGACCCTAACTGGCTCTCTCCCGCTTGCGCAGGGAATGGGAGGTGTGACAATGGAGCTGCGCGCCAGTGACAGGGACCAGGGCTGTGCAGATGGAGGAAGGTGAGCGTAGGTGGGACCCAGCTCTGTGCCAGGGTTGGGTGGGCCACTGGTGCAGGGCAGGTGCGGGACATGGGTAGCTCAGGTCTGCAGGTGGGATGAGCCTGAGGTGTGCCCTGGAGAGGAGGAATGTGCTGGTGCTGAGGCAGTGGCGTTTTCTCCCGTGTGCCCATGGTGGCTAGGGTCCCGTGGCTCAGTGCGAGATGTGGCCACGTCTGGCAGTTTGTGTGGTTTGTGGTTCGGGTGGGCAGCGGGCAAGGAACGTCTGTGGAGGTGGGATGGAGCCGCTGGCCTGTGGAGCCCCAGCGGGCTCTTGTCACAGCTTGCCATGGATCTCTTGTGGCCAGCTGCTGGCCCAGGGCATCGCAGCCTTGTCCGCAGCTTAAGGCCATGTCCCTGGCTCTGCCCTCCAAGACAGGCACGCAGAGAGGAGTGAGAAGGGACAAACCCCTCGGTAGAGGCCAAACGCCCCTGCTGGGAGCTGCTCCTGACTTGTCTCCTCCTGTAGCTGTCGAGAGGGCTGAGGAGAAGCAGTGGCAGTCCCCAAGCCCACCACCATCGCCGGTAAACGGAAGGCCACACAGGAGGAGCATCTGCCTGCTGGTGCCTTGGGACAATGAACCACTGGTGCTGGTACGTCGCTGTCTCACAGCCTCTTTTGTCGTCGCCTGGGGACAGAATGTGCCCATTGCAGTCCCTGCAGGGCTGGGGGCAGGCTGAGCTGCCTGCTTTGGGGCAGGAGGTCTCGTCCTTGGCTGAGTGGGAAGTGATGCTCTCCCCTGCCCTAGTGTCTGGCTGGCTGTGTATGACTGTGCTGCCCGCTGCCAGAGCAGGTACTGGCTGGGCAAGGGTGCTGTGCCCTCAGCACCAAGCTAGGGGTCAAACGAATGAGGACCAGAGCTCTGCAGTGGCTGTGGCAGAACCACGGCTTCCTGGCTCTGGCACCAGCCTGCTTCCACACCTCCTTCAGAGCAGCTCTACTGGCTTCCCTGAGAAGGAACTAAGGTACTGCTCTCTTGGCAGCCCCCTGGGCCTGACCCTGGCTACCCCATCATGGCAGAGATCATAGAGGAGGAGAGGAAGGCAGCGCAGCAGCGGTTGCGCTGACTCCTGGGGTATAAGGAGGGTAAGGGCAGAGTGGGAATGTGATGGGCACGGCAAGGAGGAGACAGCCATGGCGCAGGCTGGCAGTGCAGGGGGTGTCCATGCAGCACAGGCTGAGGAAGCTCCTGGGCCGGTGCTGCCTGGTCCTCGGGTTGGAAACTCCTGGAGCCTGGTGAAGACTCAGGCAGGAGAGCTTGTGCCCCGCTGTCCCCAGGGTGATGGGCAAGGGTCCCCAGGGCCGGAGCTGTGAGCTGTTCATGCTGGGAGGCTCTGCTAAGGGGTAGTCCCATACAGCAAGTTGTGGGTCCTGATTTCATGCTCCCTCCCGGCAGATGAGGGCCCCAGCACCAGTGGGGAAGGTACATCCCTGGGCCTAGGGCTCCTCGAGCACCAGTCGCACACGGGCAGTGTCTGCGAACACAGCATCGGTGGTTTCTGGGCTGGCTGATTCCAGCAGCAGCGGCCTTACTGACACCAGCCAGAACAGAAGTGGGAGAGCGCCCGTGCTGGGAGGTGAGTCGGGGCAGACAGGGCTTCTGTGGGGGTGAAGGGCAGGGTTAGATTTAGGCAGCAGCTTTCCTGCCAGACCTGGCTGAGCAGCCCTGAGGGGCTGGTGCTGGGGCTGTGCAGAGCCTTGCCATGCGAAGGGAAGGTGCTTCCCTCACTCGCTGCCCCAGTCCCCAGCCCCGGGCAGTGGAGGGGAATCTGAAATGTTGCTCCTTGCCCCTCTGGACGCACCGGATGCATCGGCTCCTGCGGGTGCTGCCAGCTCCCTAAAGCCAGGCTCTTCCTCCCTTGCTGACCCCAGCTCACAGTGGTGTGTTTCTTTCCAGGAACTGCTGCACCCTTCTTTGGCCAGCGCCCCTCAGGCTTTGGAGAAGGCGTCGCTTCCCCTGGTAGTGAGGGAGTTGGTGCTTCAGCCTGGAGGAGCTGATGGGTCGTGTTGTCCCCTTGGGCTGGGGGATGGCAGAAGGGCCAGGCTGTGCTGTAGGAGCTGGCCCGGGTGGTGGCTGCTGGGCTCTGGGGATGCAAAACCTTCCATTCCTCCTGGGATACGGATTGTGGTAGCCCCGGTGCCAGTTTGGGGTGCGGGTGCAGAGACCTGAGCAAAACTTTGTGCTTCCAGGTTCATCCACCCCTGCCTCCTCCACGCAGGCAAGATCCAGGACCCAGGGAACTCACAAGCGGCTAAAGGCACGGATCCATCATTCCCATAATAAGTAACGGCCAGTGCTGCTGGCCCCCCACCTGTGGGGCTCTGGTCCAGAGCAGCCCCGAGGCAGGACCGGGGTGATAGGGTCAGGCCCCTTCTGTGCTGCCAGCAAGAAACCGTGTTGGGTGGTGCACCTGGGGTGGCATGGGGTGAAACAAGCTCTTCCTACTGGAAGAGTTCCACCCCTGAGGCTGGATGAACGTCTCTGCATCTCTGCAGCCTTTCCTCCCTGGCTTTATTTAGCCATATTTCCTAAGGTGCAAACATTTGCTTCAGCCCTGGCAGTCCCTCTGCTGCCTTCTCTTCCCATCTCTGCTGGTGCCCCTCCCCATGTTTGGGTGCTCTGGAGCCAGCTGGGGCATCCAGAGCAGACGGGGATCCTCCCGAGATCCAAATTGTTTTCCATCTGTGGCCCATCCCCACCCATTTGGGGTTTACCAGCTCCCAGGAGCTGCAGTGCTGTCTCCTGTGGGGCCGTTCAGTGGGAAAGGCTCAGAGGCTGCCAGAGCCAGGGGTCACCCGGAAGCTGCCCCCCCTGCCTGCAGGGTCCCCACCACCTCCAGGAGGGCTTTGCTGCCGGCTCCTTTACTCTCTGAGCCGTGGGAGTGTGTGTGGGGGAGTCTAAATTACAGAAACCCCACAAATATTTAAATGCTCTTTAATGGAAGAATGCTTTGGTTTTCTAGCTGAGCTGTTACAGCAGCTCCTTGCTTCTAAATGGTGATGCACGTGGATATGACTAAACCTGCCCTGTTCGGTTTTTATTCTTCCCCAAGGAGAAGGACAGCTCCGACGCCAAGTGGCCTTTTGGGCCATCAGCAGCAAAACATTGGCAGCTGTGAAGATTCGTTGGCGATTTTATTGTTCTGTGTTTGTTTTTCGCGTGTTCTGATATTCTTGTTCTACTGTTGTTAAACTGCACTTGTTTTGTTGTTTTATTGTTATTTATATTTATTGGGTTTTGTTGTACTTTGTTCTACCCCTGTTGTTGTAACAATTAAACTAGCATTTTTACCGTAATTTTACTATCATTTTACTATTTTTTTTCTCTTTATTATTATTATTATTTCACTGGTTTTCCTCCACTGCTTTGAACAGTGGCAATTTCAGTGCAGGACTGCAAAACTGTCCTGGAAAGGACAGTGGAGAGACAGAAACTCTGCTCTGGGTCATCCCTACAGTAATACTAAAAGCATGGTGCCTCTGGGGCTGTTTGGATTCTGCTCTATGGCCAAGTAGCTGCTTACCCACAACCACCAAACACTTTGGTCACGGAGGCGAATTTCATGATCACAATTGTACTATATTAAAACTGCTTTACAGAAGTGCCTTGCTGGAAAGCACTTAACCCACATGGTTCTTTCTGCTCCCCCATTCCTCATCTTGTGATGTGAGAAATGAAACTGAGCTCATAGATCCCGCTGCCAGGCCTCGGTTAGTTCAGTGAAACCAACAGTGTTTCCACCAGCTGTGCCATGCTTCCTAGGTGTCAGGAAGCTTCCTTTCAGAGCCAAAGCTCAAGGAGGAGCAATGACCCATCTGATAACCAAGCTGAGCTGATGGAGTTTGAGACCTGATTCATGTTTTGTCTTCCAAGTGCAGGACCTGAGTTTGAGAGCTGGAGCCCTGCCGGTGGCTGTCACATGGGCACACTGGGGTTTGTATTGAGTCGCTGTTTGCCGTGGGGAGTCTCCAGCCCAGCCCAGCCCAGGGCCAGGGCCAGGGCCAGGCAGCAGGGAGCCCCTGGGGATGCTCTGGGGGCACCTCTGAGATCAGAGGACAGTGAACAGCCAGGGCCAGGTTTGTGCTAACTGCTGCACTCCCAGCCTCTCCTGTGTGCTCAGCTTGGTGCTAACATGACCCATCTGTGAAGGAGAGCCCAGGCACTAAGTCCTGGGGAAAAAAAAGACATCTCCAGGGCCGTGAGAGCCTTCTACCGCCTTCACCTTCCTGTGAGCACTGAGCCTGGGGCAGCTGCTGTTGTACACCAAAGAGGGGGTGCCTGTGGGCTAGCCCTGTGCCAAACTGGGGGCAGAGCATGGCAAAGGCTCTGGTATTTCCCAGAGCACCTGGTTGGGAAAGAGGGAAGTGCTCTGGTCAGCAGAAATAGGAGGAGAAATAGGTTTGAGAAGGTGGGATGTAAACATCCTACCCTACAGCCCCCCCTTCACACACACTTCATCCTTCCTGAGGGTGCTTCAGCACAGGGCCTTCCCTTGGAACCATTTCGGATGGTTTGGGGGCAGCAGAGCCAGTGCATCTCCATAGAGAGCTGGAATCGCACATTCTGCCTAGCTGAAACCAGACATTTTTCCATTTTGGGTTTGTGGAGGGAAATGTGCAGTGAAATGTTGCCCATAGTGAGAGGGCTGAAGTAACCACTTCAAATATCAGCCCAGCCCCAGGTATGGGCACGCCTTCCAGCTTGCTCAGCACTGCCTTGGAGCCTCTGGTTGTGTTATTTGCTTTCACTGTCTCCTGAACTCCAGTAAAAACCCCAGGGATGACATGCCACAAAGGCAGGATTTTTTCCAGGAGGTATTTTGTACCAGGGAAAAACCCATTGGAGTGTCAGAGCGGGTGTCACGGTGTTCCCCCTTCAATGGATGTTAACATGCTGTCTTGCTTTGAAAGGGAGTGGAATACAGCTTTAACAAAATTAACAAGTGCCCAGTATAGGTCTGGATTCATAAACAGAGGCTCCTAAGTGTGCTGCTGCTGGCTGGGGGAAGGATGCCAGGGAGTGTGGAAATGTCATGGAATTCTTGGCAAATACAGCCGGCAATCACTCCAGAAGTTCCCAAGCTGGGGCACTGTATTTAGGAAACCCCATTCCCAGCTTCATTATAGACAGAGCCATGGAAGGAAAGGCAATCTCGTCACACAGGCTTTATAGCTGCCACTGTAACTATTGCCTGACACTGGAAATCCTGTTCCTCGTAGCCATCTGTAGTGGGAGCAGAGCTGGAAAACAGGGAATGTCCAGGATGTCTGCATCCATGGCACCAGCTGGGCTCTGCAGAGCCAGGACTGCTGTGACTCTGTGCAAATCCACATCATCCCCTGCATCCCAGTGGGATGTATGGCATGGCTGGTGCTTCCCTGACACCTTCAGTGGCTGTGTTTATGCTCTGAGAAGCCAAATCCTGGTGGTACCCACGCTCCTTACACCACCTCATGGTGCACAGGGCAGCGCGTACAGGATACACAGCCGAGGGTGTCTCATTGCATCAGGGGTGGAAATCCTGGAGCTCCATCCCTGACTGTTGCAGAGCTGAAGACTGATGTTTCAGTGCTTTTTGGATCCAGCCCTTGA